GGCTCTGTCTCAAAAAAAAAAAAAAAAAAAAAAATGGTTTTAGCTTTTAAGGAAGAAGTGAAGAGGTCTGTGTGTTCACCTAGCATGGGAGGTGACAGAAAGCCCCGGTGGCAGGCCTGGCCCAGAGGAGTCAAGATCCCCGCCCTGCTGGCCCCATGGGCATGGAGAGGGAGGTACTGGCCACTGGTGGGGCCCAGTCAGGAGCCTGAGTGTCTACTTTGGCCTCTCCTTTCCCCAGGATGACCGGAAAGAGGGGATGGCTGCATTTGTGGAAAAGAGAAAGGCCAACTTCAGAGACCATTGAGAGCTGCTTCTGTGGCCTCGCTTCTCTGTGTGGAGGAAAAGTGGCTGTCAGTTTGGGAAGGACGTTAATTGTCCTCTCAAAGAACAGTGTCACTTGTCACTTCTTTGCGGCTACTGTGGGGCACAGCTGGCCAACCTCATCCAGCCACTGTGAGGGTTTGGTCTGGAGAGTGTTAGCACTCCAAGCGGAGCATATTCTAAATCAGAAGTCTTGTCTTCTGTGCAACACACTCTGCCCAACCAGGAGGGGGCTTGCAGTCCTCACCATGTGCAGCAGTGGCCTTGGCTACCCCTAGGGAGTCCTGCGCTCTGCTGACTTTAAACAGATGCTTTGTCGATTAAAGTGACCACTTCCAATCACACCATGCCCTTCCTTTAATCATCTCTGGAGGCTAAATATTCTGTCACTGTAGTTTTCTAAACTTTTATATTTTTCACTGTAAATGATAGCATTCAAGCTAAAAAGAAGATCATACCATAAGCTGCCCACATCACACTTGCAGGGAGCCACTGTGAAGAGCTGGTATCTTCCAGATTTCTTGCATCCAAAAATACACACATGCACATACATTCATGCACACATGCACACACACTTGCCCTTGTACACACACTCATACACATGCACTCATACATCATGCATACACACACCGATGCATACATGCTCATATACACAAACGCACACATTCCCTCATGTAGACACAAGCTCACATACACACATGTGCCCTACACACATGTGCCCTACGCACATCCTTGTGTATGCCCACACTCGCATTCAGGTACATGTGTACTTGTGTACACACACTATGTACACATAGGCATAGCCTTGTAGCTTGGTTTTCTTTTTGTGGAAATGGCAGCCCACACCCACTTCTACTGAGTCCTTCCGATGTAAAAGTGCACCCTGGTTTCCTTCTGTAAGGGGATCTTCTATCCCGCTGGCCTTCTCTGTTTGCTATGCACACCTGGCACAAGCACCTGTCTTGGCCAGGTCAGGGGCATTGAGCACGTGCACCTGGTGTAGCCGTCACCACCACCACTAGGGCCCGTCAGTCTTCCCAAACAGATGCTCCCCTCAGGTTGCCAACCCCCCGTGCAGCCCCCAGCCTGGAGCCCATTCTGCTTGCCATCCATGGGTTTGGCTACTTGGGGTCTTACATAAGTGGAATCATGCAGTATTTGTCCTCATGTACCAGGCTAACTTACTGGGCACAGTCTTGCATTGACACCCCAACCCCAGGTGGTGGTATGAGGAGGCAGGGGCTTTGGGAGGTGATTAGGCACTGGTTAAAAGGCTCCCACGGCCAGGCGTGGTGGCTCACGCCTGTTGTCCCAGCACTGTGGGAGGCCAAGGCAGGTGGATCGCCTGAGCTCAGCCGAGTTCGAGACCAGCATGAGGCAAAGGGAGCCCTGGTCTCTACCCCCCAAAAAAAAAAAACAGCCAGACATTGTGATCCCAGCTACATGGGGGGCAAGAGAATCACTACAGGAGGAAGAAGTAAAAAACGAAAAGGCTCCCGCCTATGGCTCAAGTGGCTAAGGCGCCAGCCACATACACCTAAGGTGGCAGGTTCAAATCCAGGCTGGGCCCTCCAAAACAGCAATGACAGCTGCAACCAAAAAATAGCCAGGCGTTGTGGCGGGCGCCTGTGGTCCCAGCTACTTGGGAGGTGGAAGCAGGAGACT